CCGGCCCGACCAGCCCCCCCCCCCCCCCCCCCCCCCCCCCCCCCCCCCCCCCCCCCCCCCCCCCCCCCCCCCCTCGACACTTAACGTTCCCTTCACGTTTCCGCGTGCCCATGCATCCAAACACCTTTAGCCGCACCCGTACAACCTACATAACGAATCCCTCGACAGGTGACGAATACCACCGTCTTCCCCAACCATAACCGCTCCAGGAGGGCAAAAAAAACAAACCCAACCGCTCCCCCTACGAAAAACAAAAACCAAACGACGAAAACGAAAAGAACGGACACCCCCCTCGCATCCCCTCCCGCCCTGCTATCTCGTCCACCCTTCCTCCCAAAGAGGAAACATTGGACGCGGACTGCAACAGCGCAAGCACGCCCTGCCCAGCCTGCTGCAGGTCGCCCGCTCTTAAGGCTTATCACCGACTGGTCTTAGACTTGCGGGCGACCAGACCCTTCGACGTAAATTTCTAAAGCCCGTATTCTGCCCAAAAAGACCCTACCAAAGCTTCATTCCGCCCGACAACATTACCGGAAACGGAAACTTCGCAAAACGATAAAAGACAATGGCAATAGACGCAGCCTTTTGGCTGCAAAATGTGAAAACGCCAGAAAAATTCTTTCTGGCGTCCTTGTGGCCCCAGCCAAAGTTTCCTTATCCAAGGGTTCATATGGAAGGTGGCCTGGGAAACTCTCTACCTAGGGATCAAGGGGGTCTGGGAATTTTGGACCCCATGCAACAAAAGTAACCCTTATTGTGCAAATGGGTGGTTGCAGCAACCTTTGGGAACCGTTGAAACCTATGGGTAAGACTGGGTGAATACATTTTAGCTAAGGAATGAGATTTATCTAGAGGTTCAGATGTCTGGGTCTGTTTATTCATTCGGTCCTTCTCAACTCGCAAACCAAAGTCTAGATTATGGCGTAATATTTTATATGCATGGCAAAAGCTCTCCCCCGAGGTCCTTCGGCCGCCGGAGACTAGGGGAGAAATCCTTAAGCCACCAGTACTTGGCCCAGCTATCGATGCCTAGCCTGGAATGGCCCTGCGCGCCAATTTTCGCCAAAGCGCCAGGGTACCGTTCTGAAAATGTTTTGGTTGGCGCTTCCAGCCATTGTGGTCCGGTACCCCGAAGCCCTAAAGGCGCAGCGCGTTAATGGGAAAGCGCCGCGGCCGATAGCTGGGCCAAGTATTGGTGGTTTAATCATATCATATTTGATAACTCTTCTATAGTCTCTCCTACGGGGTCTTGTTTGTTGGCAGACGGGAGTCCGGGTAGCTTCGAAAAAGCCTGGGCGGAGAAGGAAATAGTGCAGATCAAAGATTTACGGGACACTAAGATTGATGCATGGCTTTCGGTGGGAGATCTAAGAAAAAGGTTGCTGCGCCTGAGCAATATTGAACAAAATTATGGGATCCTTAGGAGTTGTATCCCGGATTATTGGCTAGCTTTGTTGCCACAGGAGGTGGAACATAGTCAGGGGACTTGGGTCCAAGATCCGACTAAGAGCAGTTGTGTTCTGAGGGTGATAGGCCCAGACTTACCACAAGGGTTCAAAGTCCAGGTCTGCGAGAAGAAATCAACAAGTTGGTCTACACCGACTTCGCTGCTCAACAAGAAAGGAGAAAAAAACATTCACTCAACGATTGCGTTACGAGAGTGCCGAGTGTGGCTTAAGAGAGAAGGTAAGAAAGAAGAGGCTATGCTGGTGACTGGTGATGCTTTTGAGCTTCAAGTCGAACCAATATGGCTGGAAAAACAAGACAAAGGTAGGTCCTCAGTTTCCAGTCTGCTTATATAGGACAAAAATAGACGTTCAAATTCTACAAACTGCAGTAAGGAAGCAGTCAGTGGCTACAACAACAGAAAGACTGAACAAAGAACCAGGCTTTACCCTGACCAATTTGGATCTTTACGGTCTATGGCAGACAACTTATGGTGTCTCAGAAACAAGCCAGCTTAATATGGCTTCAATCGCTTTTGGCGACCCCCTCGGCCTCATGATTGGCAGCAAAGGGCATGGACTTAAAAGAACAGTGCGCCAGATGTAAGTGGGGATGGGAGAATGCCTCCCACATCTGGCTTTACTACTCGTTCTCCCTTCAGTTGTGGGAGTGGTGGAAAGACAGGTGGGGACAAATAGTAGGCTCGGAGTTTATCTGGACCCAAGAGTGGACCCTTCATGGTATGACCACCCCCCGATTTGGATTTCTCCAGGGTTGGGCATATGTAGCCCTGGCCTCTCGGGGGATCATCATAGAAACACTCTAGAAAGCACGGAACAAAGTAATGTTCCAATAAGAGATGATTACCTTTTAGACTCAAGTGGCGGTGAAGTCTACAATTAGGCAGACAATTAGAGCAGACTGGCAACATCGAGCCCAGACTCGTAAGAACCGATTTTGGTTCTCCCAGACGTGGGGTAAGTCCAAGGGCTTGGCTGTAACATCAGCGGAAGGAGACCTGAAGTTTGCAAATTGGTTTCTCCACGACATCAGTGAGTGAAGACGACACACTCAATAGGAAGCAGATAGGCCACCGAGTTTATTTTTTTGGGCTTAAGCAGCGCTGTTTGCCTTAGCTGC